CATCCTTAGTTAGCCTATTGCCATCCAACTGTCCCATCACCAATGCTGCAAAGTGAATCAATGTAAATCAGCTGATCTCTATTGCCATCTTTTCCTTTATATCATATAATAAAACATCTCTGGCTCGTTCTAGCTAGAGAGCCAAATTTAGAACCAGAGATTTAGGAGTATATTCAGTTGATCAGTGGGGTAGGAACTAAAATGGTTGGATCTTGCTTCAAACATATAATGCTTCCTAGGAAAGAAAACTTGGTGACCTGAATACAACCTGTACGCTGTATTTGAAAGGATAAAAGAAATCAAATCAGCTTTTCAGAACCTTACCTCTAAATACACAAACATATTCAGTTTCAGATAATCTTCTTTCCACTTACATTCTGATCATCTGGAAGGAAGCCATTGCAACAATATCCCATAGTGCCCAGAAAATGGGGGTAGGGAGAAAATCTGGAGCAACCACATTTGAAAGCCTCTGAAAACAGTGAAATCGCACACAAAATTTAGAATTACACCAAGAGTGCTTGTCTTTTCTTTTGAGCATGTTATATTTGTCCTATAAAGTTCAGAGTTGATTGAAGCTGATGGAGACTCATAAATGACGTGTAATGATTGGACATGGTGTTATATTTATCACAAGGCTGCCTTGGAAAGCAGGAGTCTCACTCCAGTTTACAAATGGTCATCACATGGTTGCTGCAATCCAGTGTCCAGGTAATCCACAACCAAACATCAGGAGTAATAGACCAAGATGCATGCAGACGGCTCTTACATTCATTACCCTCATTCTGAGTGAAATCAATCAGGCATTGTCAAGCTGCTGAAAATAGATGTTCATCTTCATGCATGAATCAAGGCATCAGCCCTTTGCAGGCATTTTATGTCTGTGCTAAGTTCATCTTTCTGTTGTTTCAGGTATTCTCCTTCCACTCTGATGGAAAAGAAAGTACTGTTGCACACACACCCTTCCCCCAAAAGAAATAATTTGTAATTATATTTCTTGAGTGGAAAGTTGAATTTTTGTAGTTATCGTAGTTACAGGGTGGCTAAGGAGTGTACTTAAGTGTCCTGTCTGCCATCAGAGAAAAATGTTTCCCTGGCTTCTCACATTTCCAATTACACTCTGCTGTGGATACCATCTATCCAGCTAGTGATTGTTAATAATCTCATTATCTTGAGTGGAAATTGGCATAAAGGGAAGTGAATTCCATGATGAAACAAGGGTTGTTTGCAATAAAAACAGCCATTGCCACCATGGAAAAAGCCTGCCTGAGACGGCGTTCAGTAGCTCTTGCTATATTTAGCAGGGCCTCCTCCACTGATGATCTCAGTGATTTATCAGGTTTTAATGGTGAAGGCGATCTGACAGGCATTCTGATCCAAAATTGCTTAGTTCTTTGCAAGTAATAAACCAAACTTTGGACTTGGCTTGGTAGCTAATTAGCAGTCAATGCAGTTGCTTGAAAAAAGGAGGAGGGTTAACATGTGCACGACCAGGCGCCCTGCTCAGTAATTTGGCCAGCTGCAGCTTTTGGACCCAGCTCAAAGGGGAATCCCACATAGAGCATATTAATTTAAATATGAAGTTACCACTGTATGAATAACTATGGCTAAGCTGTCCACATCTGGGAAAGGGTGCAGTCGGTATGCCAACCAAAGCTGGCAATTGGCACTCATACCCATGGGAACTACTCAGGTTTCCAATGACATATATGATTTTAAAAGCCTCAAATTACATCCTGTTCTTTATAAGGGAGCGCAACCCCATTTATGTCAGCCATAGAGGGTAGACCAGATTAAGAAACCAATGGCATATAGGTCTAAAACTATTTTTATGAGAACAGCTATAGTAACAGGATCCTGCAAGTCTGAATGTGCTTCCCTCCTCCCTTACTTTACTTTCAAGTGATTTGGGGAGGAGCTTATCTGAGACATTCTCAAGTTTGTTTCTTGGAATGGACTTAAGCCAGACTTGTCAGAACATGCCCTTGGTAACAGATCTTCCATCTGTCCTTCCTTCAACATTATTCTTCATGTCCTCTACAATTCAGAATAGCTAAAACTTCCTATTCCTGAACCCAGAAACCAGCTACCCTCCACCTTGGCAGGATTTGGACTCACTTTACTGGCCTTCATCCATCTATCACTATATCCAGAAACTGGTTCAGGGTATACACAGCCTTTCCTGATTTAGATGCTAGGATGTAGAGGTGAGAAACATCTGGATATTGGTGACACCAGGCTCCCAAATCCCTGATGATCTTGCAACAGTTTCACATAGATGTTAAATAGCATTTGTGATAAAGCTTCATGGCACTCCATAGTTGTTAGGATATATAGGCAAAGTCACACAATACAACTTTCTAAGACTGTCTCCAAAAGAAGGAACAGAACCACTCTAACCCAGTGTCTAACCCAGTGTCCCCAATTCCCAGAGACAATCCAAAAGTATACTATGATTAATTGTATCAAAAGCTACTGAGAAAGTACACTCCTTTTCTTCCTGTTGAACATTATATATTAGAGTGACCATGGCTTATTCTGCCCCAAAACCAGGCTTGAATCTAGACTGAAAAAGGTTGAAATAATTGATGGACTCCAAGAATGTGTGAAGCTGCACATAAACCACCCTCTCAAACACTTTGTCCCCAAAGGTAACATTTGTGACTGGACCCTGGGAGGGTTTCTTCAGGAGTGGGTGGATCACAGCCTCCTTTAGGCCAGGAGCACCCTTCCACCAAGCAAAAATTCATGTATCACTTCTTGGATCCATCAGTCAATCCCCACTGGCGAATTCAAATAATCCAAAATAGGCAGGGGTCAAGAGAGCAAGTGGTATGCGAGCAACTCCCCAAGGTCCCCAGGCTTCATATGAAAAGTTACAGTACCAATAGAAGAGCAAATATGTAGCTCAGGGTTGAACTGTGGAGTCCTTGGGGTTCTCTGAGCTTGGTTGTTCTCTTGCAGACATTTTGTTACCCATCTAGGTAACTGAAGATGTTACCTAGACAGGTAATGAAAAGTCTGCAAGAAAACAACCAAGCTCAGAGAACCCCAAGAACTCAAAAAGTTACAGTGCTGTCCTTGTAATCGTTTTTCTTGGTTCTTGGTAATTTCCAATCCCAGTTGCTGTGGGAGGATTCTGACAAATGGAATACTTAAAGTATCAGCATCTTTTTTCACCTATTTATTGAATAGTAAAGATTGCGCCACCCTTGTACATGACTAGAAAAATGGAAAAAACTTCTTTTGACTAATTTTTAAAGCATGCACAACCCTGGTCTTTGCATGAAAATAATGTGCAGAAAATGATTGATCTCAAGATATAATAACTAATTATCTCAGCTTGTTTCTGATTGTCAGCCCTTTGGAATAGACCAGATCAGGAAACCGACTCCATGGGAAGACCAGGACGATACTTTATTGATATAGGCTATGATAACAGAATCTTGCAGGCCTAATTGTGTTTTACCTCCCCTTTTTATACTCCAGTGAATCAGGTAGGACCCTGTCAGAGTTTCTTCTGAATACTATCTTGTATCCCAGAGCTTAAAGAATGTTTCAGCCCTCTTTGCTTATCTAACAGCTCTTGCTTATTTCTCTCAAGGTCAGCTCCCTGATTCTCTACACGGATTAGGATGTTGAGAAAATCTTTAGCCAGTTAATGATAAGCTATGAAGCAATTAAGATAATAAAGGATTCTAATAGCAAAACCTGTTTATATACCAAATGCTAGCCAGTCATTCCTGTGTCTTGTTTGTATTCTTGAGGTGCCAGGACAAAAAAAAAAAATCTTCTAAAAAGATTAATTTTAAGGAGCATTTTGTCATATGATCATAGCCTTCAGGTAAATTAAATCTTTTCTCAGAAGCTTTTCAGAAGGTGAGAGGGGTGTATGTGTGTGTGTGTGTGTGAGAGAGAGAGAGAGAGAGAGACCAAGATGATTTGAACAATTTATTTATTTTTGTTTGTGACTAAACCAAAAAGCAAGGAGTTGATTTTCAAGGGGGGGGGATGATTGGAGGAAATAAGAAGATCTGACAGGTGTTGTCAACCACACATTTTATCTTTTACACCAGATTGTAAATGTATGTTTTACATAATGTAACATTGGGGACAGAGAAGCAATGGGCAGCTTTAGTCCTTGGTTTTGTATTTATTTCTGAGTTTCAGCATGCTGTTTGAATATGTGATACTACTATTACAATTGTGAGACAGTTTCAAATGAATGTTACCAACAAGTAAAATGTATATAAACCAAGAACAGACTTAGCAGTTGAAAGAGTGATAAATTAAAGTTGGAATAGTTCATTCCTATGAAAATAATGAATCCTGGTTCATGCCTTATTTACAATTCAGATTTCTTTGATCATACTTATTGATAATTCCAGAGTTATGGTTTATTAAGTGAGGGATGTCTGTCTTAATTGTTGTGTGAATCCAAACATGATATGTTTTGTGTTTTGATTTTCTTGGAGAAAATTAAAATAGAAGAACATCTAATCATGTGACAATGTACACCAGCAGAGTCAAATGTAAATCTCGCTCATGAAGAGTTTCAGTGAATTCATCAGCACCCAAAATAATATGAGTGAAAGAAAATATGGGGTTTAAATGTTTGTTGTGAACCAAATCACGGGTTCCAGAGGCATCCTCAGAGGGGCAAGTGATGAAATGAATGTTGTGCCATCATGTTACAAGCCCTGCCCTTTTGGTATGTGTATTGTGACATCAGATACATGTATGGGAGGAATGAAGCTTCCATCACACTATCACAGTCCTTGTTTCATCATTTTGACAAAATGGTTGAATTCTGCAGGAGGCTCTAACTGGTGGATAGGTTTTTTTCCTAAATGGCTTGCAAAGGGAAATCAGCCTTTCTCCCACCTGGTACTCTCCAGAAGTGTTAGAACTGGAATACACACAATTCCTAGCCAATATAAGAGTCACTGTCCCAACACATCTGGAGAATAGGCAGAGTTTTTATTATGCTTGCCTCTGTTATTTGGTGTCTGAACTCCAAGGACAGGAAGTTCTGTATCCCTCCTGGCTCTTATTTCTCAAGGAAATGCTCACCAAAGAAAAGAACAGCAGAAACCCTAGAAGTTTCAGATTTCACCATAATTAATGAGAGTCATTCTTCCGTTCTTTCTATTATGGTCTTGAAGGAGAATGGCGCAAAGGGAGAGCCAGACCCAGAGTAGAATTTGTTCTGGAACTCCACCCTAACAGGAAAAAGTTGAAATCATTTCATTAGTTTATTATTTTTCTCTGAAATAATAATAAAAGCAGGTTGCCAAAAAAAAAAAAAGAGGAAAAACTACCATAAAATTGGATTAAAACAGAATACCCTTTAATAGAAGAAACTTTGAAGTGACAGAAGTAAAAATATTAAAAAGGCTATGGCTTCCAACTTCTCCATTGCTGATGGGACCACTAAGAAAGGCACCTTGGAGGGCATAGTTATTATGGGATTGTTTCAGGATAGTTTTTTGCAACTTTGCACCCTCCAGATATGTTAGACTACAACTCCCATCATACTCATCCCACATAGCTCTGGGACAGGGTCCTATCAATGTTTCACACCAAATTGTCCATAACATCATGCATATACCCATTTCAATTATTCTTGCAGCAGCACCCTGCAAACATAAGAGGATGTGCACATACCACAATGTCACTGTGGTTTGGTTTGTTGGCTGGTTCAGAAGGAAACAGCTATGCACTAAAGTTCTTGTACATTCCTACTTACCAGTGAAGCCTGAGTGCGTGCAGAAAGGCAGAAAGACCTTCCATGATGAGTAGAATTGCTATCGTCAGTGCAGCAAACACAGCAAAGAGGACGAAAATCCCAGCGAGCCCTGCCCAGCCACTCATTTGGAAGCCTTGTGAAAACAGCAAGGTCCAAAGAACCTCTGAGAGCTCTGAAGAACAAAGGGGGAGAAAACACAAGAGGGAGAAAGCAAAGGAGAAACACCCTTGTATATCCCCCTGTATCCCAGAAGAATTTTGTGCTAAGCAGAATTCCAAGAAGCTTCACGGACATACCTATACAGTCATTGGGAACAGAGCTGGTCCAAAGGAGACTTTTTAGGAGCTGCCAAGGCATAGCTTAAGGCACTCATTTCAGACCCCCAAACCCCCATTCTCCCCAAAAGAATCAGGCTGGTTTGGGAGTGGATGGATAGAGGGGCTTAAGGCATTCATTTCAGTCTTAAAATCCTCAATCCCTGCAAAGAAGGACTCAAAATTTCAATTCTATGCACTCTAGTGCATCTCGTATGGCCGCTGGCTGGAAAATGTTGCCAGAAATGCTTCTTCCAACTAGGTGTCTACAGGGAAGGGTTAAAAAATTCAATACAGCAACTGACCATGGGATCAAAGCCTGAGTGGCATGGTCACAGAGACCATCTGATCTTTTTTGATCCCTCCTGTGGATGCCCCTGCACCCCTCCCCATCCCAATAAAAGGTTAGAATGCTCTGGAATTGCTCTGGAAACACAGGCCCTAGGGGCTGTTAGATAACTATCAGCAAGGAAAGAATTCCTACTACTAGGAACCTCTGGTAAAATTTTTAAGAACCAAACTGCACAAATATCACTGAAAAAAGATTGTCGGAATCATAACAGAGCTCAAGATAATTCACCTCTGTCCTACTCTGCAAACATTAACTGGGCTAAACATTTTGCAGTTTTAATTTACATCGCTTAGTGCCTTGCAGCTGCTCCTTCATTTCCTGGAACTGATGCAAGTTTTCTTTGTCATTCTGCCTGAGCTGGATTAAGCCTAGATCACTGGATCACTGCTTTCCTACAACTGTAACACCAACATGTAGTTTTCAGAGCCAATGTTACAACAAATTTCTTTACTCGTGGCCTCAGAAGGAGCAATCTCTGGTTGAAAAGGTTACAACCCTGATTTGCTCCTTCTCTAACCTGGTGCTGTCCAACTTCCATCAGGTCCACCTAGCATAACCAGTGTCCATGATGTCTTGGGAACTGCAGTGTAAACTATCACTGGGCACATGATTGGTGAAGACTGTTTTGAGTCAATACCAAATATTGATGTATCTTCACTGATGGCACAACCCAAGTGTTTCTCATAGACAAGAGCATCAGAAGCTGAAAACTCACGTGCATGAGCCAGGCTAAGTGCCCAAAGCCGGAGATAGGAAGCTGTATTGGAAATGCAACCCAAGCAATATTCAATGGTGTGGATTGCCTGGTGCACACAGATGTCTCCAAAGTTGAACTGCAATAAATTTTATAGGAGGAAAAAAGGTTGAATATTCCTATAGTATTTCCCATTCTTAGAGTAATTGTTTAGAAATAAGTGGAACTTGATTTAGCCATTTTACAGTAAATCCTATTGATTTCAGTTGGTTTATTCTAAACTTCACTAACTCCAAAATCCAGAAACTGTAAATGGGTTCCACGGGCCCCAAAAAGTTTTAAGCATTTCTCACTTTCCCCTCACTACCAGTACTACCAGTACTACCTTAAATTGCACTAAATGTGTTGATTTTAATTGGATTGGCCACTTAGCCCACTGTCTAATCCAACCTACATACATTATCTAACATGGGTCAAATTCTGTAACAATAAAGTCCATTTTTCACTCTAGTTTCACATGAAAAAAAATGTCAACATTCCAATTTCAAGGAGGAAAGACAGGGTTCAGCTTCCTTGGCTTTTCTGGAAGCCCTTTTGTCCCTTGTTTCCATGAGGGATCTTTCCATCTTCCTCTCACATGAGATTAGGTCCCAAAACAATAAATTCTTGACCTTTGAGGTTCTCTCCTCAAAGAGAGAGAACCTCGAAGATGATATCCCTTACCAAGTATTCAGTAAATGCAGTTAGTGCAGGCCTGGAGAACATGTGCTAGTGAATTTTAATATCTAGCAGCTCCAACCCATGTGGCTAATAATGAGTAATGCTGGAAATGGCGGTGGAGGAAGATTTGAGGGCCACAGGACTATATTGTTATTCTAGTTCCAGGCCTAACTGGGATGTATAATGAACTGTAGGTAGATTTATTTCCCGTTTTATCAGCATTGTGGACAGCATCTTTAGAAACCATTTTCTAAACATTAGTGGAAACATTAAGGGAACATGTGCCATTTTTTCCAGGCATAGATACTACTGGAAAAAATCTGGTTATTTTAATCATCTTAACTTTATCTTGCATATTTTATTTTAACAGATATTCATAGAAAGGAAAATAGGCACCTCAATACAAAGAGGTTTAAAGTGTATATTTCAAAGTGATCGTTAGATGCTTTCTGGCTTTGTTTTTAATACTGCACCATTTAGGAAATATTTTAATGATAAATGGTTTATAAATATTTTAAAATTAGTCACAAAATAATAGGTACACAAAATGATGGAGAAACGAGTCATTGCATTGTCCCTTCCTTTAGGTCTTCTAATTCCTGTATCTTACTTCTTCATGATCATGTCCTCCATGGCCACCACCGCTATCAACTTCTTGGTTTGTTTTCTCAGAGTGGTTAGAGTCTATGATCTGTACCTCAATATCACCAGTAGGGCTTTCTGACAGACCTGATGAAACCAGCTTAAGAGAAATCAACAGAGAATGATTATTAGCATCCTAATAATCCTTTGGGTTCCCATATTCTTCTCAATACTTGTACAAAGCAGGAAATGGAGCTCCATGTTAAGGTCCATGGTTTGTATATAGGAAATCTCAAGTTAAATCCTCAACATTTCCAGCCTGATGTGAAAAAAAGCCCTTCCTGGAATCTTGGGAGAGCTGCTCCCAGCCAGTAAAGACAGAATTGGGGTTATGTTCTGACTTGGTATAAGACACCTTCCTATAATTCACATGACAAAGTACTGAACACAAAAATAAACACTATGACTGACTTATAGCATGGATCTAGCCTTTCTAGAAAGAGAAAATATGTATTCTAGCCAACTGTGATCACAATCTTCTGTACCATTTCAGATACAGTGGTTGGTTGTGAAACAATGCTAAGTTGTGGTTTGCTCTAACTGGAGTTTAAACTTTAAATCATAATTTATGTTTGAAATATATAACCAAGCCATGGTTTATGCAGTTCCCCTCTTCTCTGCTTTCCTTGAATATTTGCAGTGTTACCAACAGCAGCCTTTGAAAAATGGAACAAAATCACATATCATTTATTGGTTCAGATGTAACATAAAAAAATGCCCAAACTCTTGTTGTTTGCAAACTGGCTTTAACTTTCCATGTCAGATCCTGATTTGGCAGTTATTCACAAGGCATACTAAATGGTATTTGTTCGGACATTATGACCTTGTCCTGATATAATAGACCCAGGCTTGGCACTGAGTGCCACATTATGGCATTATGTCTGAGCCTTACCATGTTTAACACTCTCTGTCGAAAAAAAGAGGCATTTTCTTAAGAGGAAGAAAGATTCCAAATTGACAGGATAGAGCAGGTTCAGCAGAGGGTGAAAAGGGGCTACAGGGACTTGAGGATGGGCTGAAGAAACTTGAAGTATTGGGATAGAGAAAAAAAAGACATGACATGAATGTCCAGGTACATAAAAGGGTACCACAGGGAAGATGGTCAGGAACTACTTTGTGTTGCCACAGAAACAAGGACCAGAAATATTGTATACATATTACAGTTATCTTGATTTCAGTTAAATGTAAGGAAAAACTTCCTGATAGTAAGATCTGTACAATAGTGAACAGACTTCTTACAGAGGTTGCAGATTCTCCATCTCTGAAGGTTTTTAAGAAGAGGCTGGATTTCCATCTCTCATGGATCGCTTAACTGGTTTTCCCATGCACTGCAGAAGGTTGGACAAGATGGTCCTTGGGATGCCTTCCAACTCTACAACTCTAAGTTTCTATGACACTTTGCCCCAGTCTTCTGTCTTTACGCATGTACCAATCCACTGGCAGAAGAGACCTTTATCCTTACCCTGCTCTGAGCTTTCTGGTGCTTGGCTCGAAGAATAAAGGGCTGAATCAGAAGCATCCAAGGGATGGCAATCAAGGCAAAAATGACCAGGAAGGTTTGAACTTCTTGCTCTGCTGTACCGTACATC